CAACTTCACCTATATATATATATATATAATTTTTAAAATTTTTAAAAATAAAATCATTAACATATTTCTGAAGTTTGAATCTGTCTTTTTAGAAACCCTATTTATATTTCACAAAATTTTTTTTGAAAACTGATTATTATATAAATTAATGAAAAATAAACTTCATAAACTTTAATTACCTTACGAATATTGGAACCTCCCTTTCCAATAATAAACTTATGAAACTGTTTATAAATTGGAACTTCAACTTGATGATTGTTCATTACTAATTCTTTATTCATCTGAGACATATAATGATAGCATTGCTCTACATCTTGCTTAGCGCCACGAATAATAACTCTGTCATTAAAAATATAATTAAATGACTTTAATGAAAATTATAGCAGTGAAAATATTGAATAAATGTTAAACTTACATTCAAATTTTCTTCATTTCCTGTCTGAGTTATTTTCATGTTCTCAAGTTTACCTTCTAATGCCGATATAGATGATTGAGCTTTCAGATACACTTCTGTATAAACTTCCCATTGATTTAATATATCTGTTAGAGTAGACAGTTGTCCTTCTAACTGGCATAACACTTCTTGCCAAATTTTATTTATATTGGCAACTTGATTTGATATTACTGCTCTACTAGCTGGATTTGCTTTACGTTCAAGAGCACGACTCTTAGTATTCATATCATTAATAAGACTCTGATTTTTATGAACTTCATTGAAATGAGTGCTTACGTTCTGAATACTAACGCGTATTGCTGCAATTGTAGCTGGCCGTTCTTCGGGCATTTTCATATTTTTTAGGCATTTGTTAATTTTCTCTAGGATGTTATTATATTCTTGCCACGCGAGCTGCTCTTTTTCTAATTCAGCTCGTCTTTTGTCAGCGGCAGTTGTGGTTCTTTCCAATCTTCCCCGAAATGTATCTAATTCTTGAATGAGAAACGGAACCTGACCCTCTTGTAAACTGGGTCGAATTTTCTGAGCAAGTCCTTCTAATCTGCCAAGCTGATCTTCCCATTTATTAGTTTCAGAAAAGAATATCTGTCAAGAAATAAATTTTCGTTTACATTATGAAATTTGTAGATTTAAATCTTAATTAATTTATAGAAAAATATATCTTACTTTGTGATTTGATAATAATGTATTAATATTTTCATAATCTATTCCATCATCTGGTGCCACAATTAACTTTTCAGCTTTATCGAGCCACTGGATCAAACCTTCTTTTGCTTCATTGTACTTCCTTCTTGAAATGAGAGCTGTATCTAAATACTGATTTCTTTCCTGAAGTTCACGAGGTAACGTTGTTTGTAAAAGATTAAGTTCACTAAGATTTTCCTGAACCATTTCACTGATGTTTCCAGATACACGAGGAAGTTCTTTTCGTATGTTTTCGCTTAATGTTTTTGCAAGTTCGAGACGCTTTTGCATCTCAGCTGCAAGTGCCTATTTTAGAAAAAAAATTTTTTAATTAAAATCAAATAAAAATGACATAATTTAAATATTACGTTTTATTACAATCTGTTTTTCAACTAATATAATATTATCATTACCTCTACTGAAGTCCAATCCTAAATTGTTAGCATAAATAATTATAATGTTTAGCATTAATTATTTCTGTTTAAAATTTATTTACAAGTTTTTATAAAATTCTGAATATGAATTACACAATCTGTACTTAGATTATACAAGATTTAAATAAAATATTAATATCTGAGTAGGATTTATAATTAAAACATTTCATTCAGATAAATTAATTTTTCTAGAAAAATAAGTTTTTAAGTTTACTTAAGAATGACTATATCAGAGTTTGTTTTTAGGGCAAATTATGTATTTGTGCTATATTTTCATGCATTAATCTCAACTTATTTACATTTAAAAGACAATTTGAAAGAGATTTAAATTATGCAACGAAATGAGTTATATACATCAGTTTTAAACTGCAATTACAAATTCAAGCCTATGGAGCAATGGTTGCTGCCATAGATGCATGGTAGTACATGGTTTTTTTGTTCATCTAAAAAAAATACTTAAAAATAATTCCTTAATATTGTTTAATATAAATAAAATAATTTATGTCAATATTTTAATTCTTACCTGATGCTTTTTCATCTCATTGTCTACACTATCAACATTAAGAGAAAGCAGGGGTCGTGATTTCACAACTGCTTCGTCTCTTCTTAATTTTTCTAGAAGTTCTTCGAGATTATCTGCCAATTTCTTTTGTTCGGCCATCATTGTTTCATGCTCTGTTTTCAACTTTTGAACCATTTTACGTAGATTGTTTAATTTATCTTTAAGTGCCTGAAGGTCATTCATAATTTCATTTCGATCAGCAACTGTTCCTTCCTTTCCAATCTGTTCACCCTTATCCTGAGTTGCTGTTAATTTTGCATCACATTCAACTATTTTATCCATTAGATTTTGATATTTCTTAAATTTTTCACTGGTTGTTTTCTCTGTCTTTTCAATAATCGTAATTGTTTCCGTACACGATGTAATAATATTTGTTATTTCTTTAATACTAGCATAAAATTGTTCACGTTGAGTAATAGCATGTTTTGCTCTCTTGCGATGATCCTCGATGGCTTCAATAATTTTGTTGAATTGTGACAAGAGATTTTGGACTTGGTCAATATTATGAGCTTGTGGTTTCAATTGGTCTAATTTATTATGAATATCTTGAACACGTCCTAATAAATCCTGGAAAAAAAAAATTATACTTGCTTACACTTAGCTCAATTTATATCACAAAATATAAAAAAACAATTCAAATACTTCATTTAATTTAAATAAATTAGTTTCTGTGTGCTAGAAAACAACTTGTTTAAATAGATTATTATTAATTCCTTTAGTATTTTAAATAGTGTTTTATGGGCATTAACTTTAGCATTAATATTAATGATTTCGGAAATTAAATTATTTTTTTATTTATGAGTAATAAAAGAAAGTAAATCCTTTTATCTAAAATCTTTTAATCAATGAAAAATAAAAAATAAAAATATATTTTCAAAAACTATATTAATCTATTGTGAATTAAACACATTTAATTTAATTCATGTCAGGCTAAATTAAATAAAAATATATACACACAGAATGTTACAAATAAAGTGAACAAGATTCATAACTTAGGAATGACTAAAGGTGGGAGGATCAGACTAATCATAGATAAATGGAGTGCAAGGGAACTAGCTGCCTCAGTAGTCCCTTATTCAGCCTCTATTTCAAATGGCATTTTATATCATAATTACTAGAAAATTATGTTTTCTAAGCATAAAACATAATTAATCAATCAATATATATATATATATAAAGATAAGTGTACAATGTGTGTGCCGCTAAAACTCAAAAACGAGTCCTGGTATGATCAAGGGAGTTATATGGTGTGGTAGCCCTCTATCCCCCATCCATGAAGAAGGTTCCCGTTTTTACCTGAAGGGTGTGCTGTTGAAGATATAAGGGCTGGAAGTTTCGCTCTCTAGAAATTTCTAGAACAGTCCAGAAAATTTGAGAGTATTCAAGAACATTCCACAACATTCCAGAATGTTATGGGATGTTCTGGAACATTCGGGAACATCCAGAACATCCCAGATCATTGTGGAACATTCCAGAACACTCTCAAATGTTGTGGAATGTTCTGGAACATTGTGGACCATTCAAAGCCTTTTTTGTATGGGTGGGACTACCCATTGGTGGGGAGTATATAAAGCAAGATCCATCGTGGGTTCAAATGTCAGTTTCTTATCAGTGATGAAGGGAAGAACCAAAAAAGAAGTGAAAATTCCAAAGTAGTGCAGTGAGTGAATAAAAACAAGGAATGCCATTATACTGCCTTCAACTAAAAATTGGATCTCCCATCATACTATTCAGAAATCTGAACTCACCAAAACTATGTAATCGAACAAGGATGATCATCAAACAGCTAGAGAATAACATCATCGAAGCTGAACTTATGACTGGAAAGGACAAAGAACACACATTATTTATCCTCAGAATACCACTGATCTCTACTGAACTGCCATTCCAAGTCAAAAGACTGCAATTTCCAATCAAATTAGCCTATAGTTTTACAATTAACAAAGCGCAAGGACACACTTTAAAACATTGCGGCATCAACCTCAAAGACTCCTGCTTCTCTCACAGTAAACTATACATAGCTTGCTCTCGAGTAGGAAATTTGAAAAATTTGTACATATATACCCCGGATAACAAAATGAAAAATGTTGTTTTTAAACAAGTATTGTAAATAGTTAGAATGTGTTTTCAATAAAATTTTTTTACCTCTTATATTTTAAAGTTTATCCTTTTATTCCAACTACCACACAATCTCATATAAACTCCCTGAACGAAGCCGGGTACTTCAGCTAGTATTTTATATGTTTTTATAACTAATTCTTAGTAAATAAGACTTAATAAATTTTATACCTGACAATTTCTCAATAGCGCCTCTGCATCTTCAACCTTTATTCCAATTGGCCGATTTAATGCTTTCACTTCTGATCTCATTTCTTCTAATTGAATTGTGCTTTCCTTGATTTTTGCTATCTGTTCCTTTTGTCTATTCACAGCATCTTCTAATGCTAAAAGTCTTTCTCTTATGATGTCTTCCAATCTAAAAAAGTATTTATCGAAATCAATCAAATAATTTTTTACAAAGTAATTGGAAAAGTTTAACTGTATCATTACAAAGATTTTACCTGTGATGTCTTTCCTTGAGTTTTTGTACCTCATCTTCCATTAATAACTTTTCTGCTTCCTTCATCTTTTCGTAGAGACTGTTAGCAATATCTTGTAAATTATTTACATCACCTAGAAGATTTTTTGCTTCTTTATTTAAGTTTGCATAAGTATTTCTCTGTTCCTCAACAATTTCTAATACTGTTGTGGTCAGCAAATCTGAAGAAACTGTCTCTTCTGTCTGTTGTAGCCAATGACGTATTGAATTTAATTTTTCTTCATATTTTTGCTGCTTGGCCAAAATTGTTTTTAAGGCTTCAACTTTCTCTTCAAGTAGTTTTTTCACTTCATTTAATTTATCATTAATTTCTACAAAACATTATGAAACAAGTATTAACTTACTTCAGCTTAAAAGATTTTGTTAAATTATAACATTATTATAATTAAACACACTCAAAAAACTAAAAATCCAGCAATTGATTGTGTATGTTATATTCAAATTTAAAAACCTGAAGATGGTTGCTTTAAAATGACCAAAAACATTCATTTTTATTTAGAAAGTAAAAAGTTAAGGTTATAAACTGTTGGATTTTTGGTTTTTTTCTTAGGTTCTAAACTTTTCTCTAATAAGTTATTATTAAGTTTCTTAAGGTTATAAACTTTTCTCTAATAAGTTATTAGAAGACATCCAGTTAAAGGAGGTAGTAATTATTATAATTGATAATATAATGTCTGAACAAGTGTCTAAGAATTAACAATAATGAAAAAATGAGACTTCTCCCTCATCCCTACAGTAAATGACTGAAATTTTGCAAAAGTTATTAAAACTCAGTATAAAAATATGAAAATAAAAAACTTAACTTAAAAAAATAACCAAACTATTACTATGATTTTAATTTAAATGTTTGTCCTTATTACTTTATTACTCAGACAACACCAGGTATTGCTACTAGTAACCTTTGATAGACCTCTTTGGAACTCTACATAGTTTCACACTTAATTTCTATAGTGGAAAATAGATAGACGCACATTCAAAAGTATATTTTTACAAATACTAAACAAAATAATCAATTTTACCATTAAATATTCTATTCAATGCCTGTAACTGTTCTGATGAACAAAGTGGTTCAAGTTCATGTCCTTTTTTGATTACAATTGTGATAGTTGTTTCTTCATAAGTTTCTATTTCAGTTCTTTTTATCTAAAAAATAATTAATATACTTAATACTATAAAAATAAATTTGAAGCTTTTGAATAATGTAAATACAAGCACTAAGTCAGCTAAATATTATGAGTATTTTATAGTTAAATATGTTGAAGAAATTCTATTATTAATCAACTTATTAAATGTGTATTGTATATCTTATCAAAAGAAGTTGCATAGGATATATGAAGCATCCAACACAGCTTTTGTTGGGATATACAAATGCACATGTTACAAAATAAAACTCATATAAGTATGTGAGTTTTATAACTATTGATATAATTTTTAATGCCTAACCTTAATGATAATATAATTACAAACCTGACAATTTTCAATTGATTTTTCAATAACTTCCATTTTTCCAGGTGTGGGTTCTATTCGATTAACTTCTTGTTCTTTATCTTGAAGCCAACTCTTAACAGAAGATACATCTTTCTCAAATTCATAACTTTTCTCTAATAAGTTATTTAATCTATTAATTTCTACAGATACAGCTTTGCAGAGTTCATCAAATTTTGATTTTAATTTTTTAAATTGATCTTGTAGTTTCTCTGCTTCACTCGTTTCTAGATCAGGTAAAAGAGCTTCTACCCTTTTCTCAAATGAGTGAATAACTACTTCTTTATTTTCAACTTCTCGCTGAAGAGACTGCAAAATAAAATTAAAGTTAAATAATATATCGAGATTTTATGAAATATGCTTGTTAAAGAAATTAAAAATCATTGTAAATTTAATAAAAACATTAATCACTTTTCCTTAACTTAGAATTACGACATTTATGATTCTAATTTAATAATTCCAAGTAAAGAGTTAATAAAATAGCGCTATTTTAAAATGGTTATTAAAATGCCATAAATATTAAAGTGACAAATTCTATTTGATATAAGAAAATGAAATAATCAAACTGAAAAAATTAAATTTTATAATATGTTTTTAATAGTTTTAGATTATTTAAAATACAAGGTGATTCAGTCAGGACTAAACACTTATTAGATAAAATATTTCTGTATAAAATGAAAAGAGGAACATGAAGCATGGATGAAACAATTCTTTATTTCATGATAAAATTAGTCAACCAAGTTATATTTTACATTACACGTTATTCAAACGTGACTGTGCAATCATGAGATATTGAACAAAGTAATCATTCAGTCCCAAGTGAATCACCATGTATATTAATTTAAAAAATAATAATTCTTGTAAGTATACATATTTAGAATTAATGTGATAATTTAAATTAAATTTTAAAAAGAATAAAGATAAGTAATATTGTTGCAAATTAAGGACTGAAAGAAAAGAGACTAATAAAGATAGTTAATCAAGATTTTGTTATTAAGATAAATGACTATTGTTAAAATTCATATGTATAATTCATACTTCTTTCTGAATAAGATGCTAATAGAAATGTTTTCCATAAAGTAAGATATAAATTATACTTATTGAATTTGTAAGCTGAAACTAACATATAATGTAGAAAATTCACATCTTCCTCACACTTTCCTGTAGTAACTGTTTAATAAGCAAATGTTTTCAGCCATACTTAGGGATCTGTGTCAGGTTAAGCATATACAAAATCCAATGTCTATAACAAAAATGTTTTTTTATTTAACAGTTACTGCTGGAAAATGTGAAAGTATGAATTTTCTATAAATCATATTTTTATGATATTTAAAAAATAAGTAGATATAAGAAAATACCATCATTTCTAATAATTATATTATTGAATTTTGTAATTTTTTTCTTCTTATATTATGCTGTATTATGATTACAAAAAAATTATCATAATTTTCACAGTTGCTTTTTATATTATACAGTTTAAATAATGACTTAATTAATTGATTATCTATTACACTTAATATCTTTTATTCATAATGTATAAAAAAAGCAATTGATTGTAAAAAGAACACAATAAATAATCATATGATTTGACATCTTAATATAGTAGAGCATCAATTATCCGAATCAATTGGGAACTGGGGTTGTTCCGAAAATCAATTTTTCGGATAACTGATTATGGACGAAAAAATATATTAACCTAGCCCATGTTGAAATTCATTCAAATCTTGGCATGTTCTTAAGTACCCTCTCATGGTCATGCCAGTGCTGCCAGCTAAAACATGTACACCAACAAAAATAATATTGGAGTAGCCCAAGACATAGCCAAAGATTGCAGCGCCACAGCATTAGCAGAGATTTAAATTTTCCGACTGGAAAGTTTTCGGTTAATTGACGTTTCGGTTGATCGATATTCGGATAATCGATGCTCTACTGTATTCATGGGATTAATTTTCAAAAAATAAACAAACAATTATTTATTGTGCCATTGACATAATGCTGAGCTGGACTAATCATATTCTTAATTTATTCAATTTAAAATATATGTTCTCCATCTAAAATATGTAGTGTCTTGCCCCTATACATCATACTTTTCCTGATAACAACAGAGTCATGTCAGTCATCTGTGTAACTCCATTCAGGGAAAAATATAAATTGAATTCATGTGACTTCCAGTCTAGACTGGAAGTTTGTATATAGTTAATTGGGGCCTCCTGCCCCTAAGCTTTTCATATCTGGTCTTGACTTTCATCTATCTAGTGCCATTCCTGAGAATAAAGGAAGACAGAAAGACAACAGTGGAAATTTATAAGTCTACAATTTTTTCAAATTGAAGTCATATGATGAAGTTTAATATTTCCAACTATATCGTTTATATTCTAGTTTATATATAGAAAATGACAAAAACTACATGAAATAATCTAAAGTAAAAGAGACTGATATAATAAAGTACTTAAGAATAATCTGATACCCATGTCAGATTCAGTATGTCAGTACTTTGTTGTCTTAGGAGTAAAATGAGTTTCCATTATCAGTTATTAGTTCACTGGGATGGGATTTAAAATTGCAGAACTATAAATTCCCTCTGACATCTATCTGTCTACCCTTCCTTAATTTCAAGAATGGAGCTAGATAGATGAAAGTAAAGACCAAAAACAAAAAGTTTAGGAAACAGAGGTCTTGATTAACTATATATGAACCTACAGTTTGGACTGAAAGTCACATTATTTCAATTCAAAAATTTTTCTCCAGAACAGAGTTAGATAAATGACCAGCATGACTCTCTTGCTTACAGGAAAGGTATGATGTACAGGGATAAGAAACTGCTAAAATCAACAGCATTGTGCATCAAGATCTTAAAAATTTCAGCCTGACATTGTGACAATGTCACAATAAATAATTGCTAATCGTCACTGACTATTACACTGTCGATATCAGAACTATTTGATAATTCTGATATTGACAAGTATTATCTAAGCTATCTTTACTCTCATAGGAACCAATAAGTAACTGAACCAAATTTAGCTATTATGAATTTTGATTTTTAAAAATCCAGTACATTAATAAATGATATTTTAGAAATACCTTTGCTTCTTTCAAAGCATCTTCAATTCCTTTGCTATGAAAACCTGGATGAAGAGCACTTTGTATATCAACAAGTTTCTCTTCAATCCACTCGTATGTTGACATCATCTCCATACTAACACTATCATAATTTGTTTGAAGTAATTCAAGGCTTTGTTGTCTTCTTAAAACTCTCTTTCTTAAATCATCTAACTTTTTCTCTAATGATCTGCAAAGTATTCAAATTTAAAAACATTCTTATCATTTTTAAAATTAAAGGTTTAAAGGAAATAGAAAAAAATATAAAGTATTAATGATTATTAAAAGTAACATGAAAATTAAAACTGAAATATAAGTTTAAAAAACAGAAATTAAATATATTGTAATACCATGTATATACATTCAACATTAAAAACGAAAATACATAAATTTAAAAAAAAGATATTGTTATGAAAAGAAAACAACCAATTACTGGTTAATATTAATGAACCTTCTAACAAAGTAATCAATAAGAAACCAGCAAAAGAACCAGTCACTTAAAATGCAAACATTTTCGCCCATTTTTAAAAGGACATCATCAGGCTGGTGTTTCAACAACAGTCAACTATCCTCAATGGCAATGTAGAGATTAAAATCAATTCGAAAATCATGCAATTCCAAATTACAACACCAGTCTTATGATTTCCATTTTTAAAACAGGAGTTGAGAAAGGTTGAATTTACTTTTTAAGTAAATGGTGTTTTTGCTGGTTTCTTATTGGTTAACATTAGAAGATTCATTAATATTGTTAGGTATAATAATTTGGTCAAGCAATACATTCAAAAATAATATTAATACGCTTTAAATATAAAATTTAAGTTTTTCTTTGGTAAGAATGTAAATAATTAGCCCTTTTGATATAAAAGTCATAGGTTTTATTTTAATCAATACTTTGCATCTACCCTTAGTATTTACAATTAAAAAATGAGTAAATAACATTATAATATTTACTTTTACATAGTTTTAAATAAATAAAACAATTTAGAACTTCTATACTGAAAAAGGGCTTATTATTCATGCTCTCATTGTAATGGGATTGAAGTTTTGAATGGGATTGAAGTTTTGTTTTTATTTAATTTCTACAACAACACCTTATCTCACTGAGAATTATTTATTAACTTGAATACATTTTAAAATGTGTTTTAAACTGTTATATTCAAAAAGAACAGTTATCAATGCCCCATAGATTTTAAAAAACCCAATGATGGCCTGTAGAACAGGTTGAAAACATTTGTTAAAGTTAATAAATAATTCTCAGTGAGATAAGCTATTGTGGATATTAAGAAGCATCTAGCTAGGTATTAATTAATTAATTAAGTTTTTAATTAAGTTTCTCATCATTTATTTTAAATAAAACAAATATTAAGTTTTGACAAATGAAAATTTGTCNTTGTTTAAGGGTATTTGGGCAGTTTATTCTCTGTTATATTCTGTACAAGTAAATACTGTACAAGTACAGTACAGTATTTTCTGAGGAAATACTCGTACTTATTTTTTTTAACCCCATTCCCGATAACTCGGCATTTTCACAAACTCGGCCACCCTTCGGTCCACATTAGGTCGAGTTTTCGAGGTTCTACTGTAATAAAATCAGTTTGTAAATGTTGTCTCCAAAAAGTTTATTTCTTTATGTTCATATAAGTGAGATTTCCTGAAACAAATTCTTCTAATGCTACAATTCTACAGTACAGTAAAACCAGCAAAAACCAGAACTTGATGGGACCATTCTGTTTTTCTGTGCTTTGCAGGTTTTCCACTATTGAGTCTTACGATTTTTTCCATTCCGTCCGCATCTTACAGGTTCCGGCTTTTGTAGGTTTTGCTGTACTATTGTTACGTGTAGATTCTTATTAAATTGTAACATAAGGAAAGGTGCATTGTATCACTGTACCAGTATGACTATAATGATGCAAGGAATTTTCTTCCTAAGACTATTTCTAATTGTTAAAATTTATAAAATTGTCAACAAAACCCAAATTTTATGCATTTCTTCTTATAATTAATCTACTTCAAATCATTATTTTACAACGTTATGAAAAATACAGATCAAGTATTTTAATGCACAAGTACTAATAAAAATGAAAATTTATACATTTTTACAATTTCTTACATTTTTAATGTAAGAAAATAACTTAAATTTTGAATGTATAGATCAGGGGTGGGAAAGCAAAAGTTCAGTGGGAGCCGAAATGTAGGTTTTGCAAAATGCATGGGAGCCGCAGTTCTGTACCACGATTTTATTATATAATATAAATATAATGTAAAACAAATATTGAATTTTTTTAATATACATATTTTCACAAAATTGTGGAAATAAAATTGTAAAAAAATTAATAAAAAGCAGAAATTAACACTTTCAGCAAGAGTTGCACATAACACAAAAAGAGCCACATTTGCCCATGTCTGATATAGATCATTTATACATTAAAAATTTCAAGGATAATTTGTTTATTTTCTTGTTGAACTGTGTATATCAATTACACATATTAAATGTACAATCATTTATAAAATTCTCAATTTTGTGTGTTCTATCAACATCATTACAACATTGTAATAATATTAGAACATATACAAGAAAAATCAATCTTTGATATTTTTTAAGTTAGCAAGTTAGTTTTCTTAAGTTTTCATTTTTTTATTTAGCTTTCTTGCCACCATCAACAACTCAGTTTTCCAATTTTAACTGTAATTTCATTTACGAATATAATTTCTATAGTTCAATATCCGACTTTATTTTGCAGTTAAAACTCCTTGCAAGTTTTACCACACAATGCGGCTCTGGATATAAAATTGGTACCCCAGGGCTTAAAATCAACATTCATACTTTATGAAACATAGGACACATATAAAGATTCATCTTCTCTTCATATAAATAGCTTTATTGATTTCAGATTTATAGTTTTTTTTTAATTGCAATTTTTTTTTCTTTTTAGAATAATTAACAAAACTAGATTTGAATATTTTTGGTTGAGAAGCAGTTTAATGATTTTATATATCAGAGATTCCAAAACAACTTTGGATTAGTGGGATGCTTTAAACAGTATAAACTAAATTAGATTAGCAAATCATTATTCCTGGTAATTTAGAAATAAAAACAATTAATTTGCAAATAAATTAATTTTTTCTGTTCAAAAAAAAATTTGTTGAAAATCAAATGTATTTTGAAGGTGGAAATGCTTAAAAATGCCAGAAGCAAAGCAGATAACATTTGATTAGACTATAAGAATGTCTTCCAATAGGTTAAACATTATTAAAACTGGAAGTTTCTATTTGCCTTGTATTTAAACTATAGCATTAAATATAATTTTAATATTTTCTTTTTCAACCATGTCAACCATCATGTTTCTAGTGATGGATTATATCAGGCTATATTACTACTACTATTATTAATTAAATGCTAAATAATTTGGCAATAGAGGCAGGCATTAGGTGCCATCTCTTGATAAATTTAATAATCATAATTAAATTATTAATTTAATAATTACTTAGCATTTAATTAAAAATAGTAGTAGTAATATAGCCCAATATAATATGGCAATCATTTGGCTTTAATATATAACTATTGTGTTTAGATGTTTATATTTCTAGTGACTATTGAATCCCTATATTTTAGAAAAATCCTCAAAAAGATATCATTTTTGAGAAAGTTTTCATAACAAACATTTTTATTTGTGTCTTTGAGATATTTTATAACTTCCAAAGGTGTTTTTTAATATTATTTTAACTCTAAATAATTGAAATATATATATTGTAACAGTTTATTGAATTTACATTTAAAAATATAATTAAATGACTTTAATGAAAATTATAGCAGTGAAAATATTGAATAAATGTTAAACTTACATTCAAATTTTCTTCATTTCCTGTCTGAGTTATTTTCATGTTCTCAAGTTTACCTTCTAATGCCGATATAGATGATTGAGCTTTCAGATACACTTCTGTATAAACTTCCCATTGATTTAATATATCTGTTAGAGTAGACAGTTGTCCTTCTAACTGGCATAACACTTCTTGCCAAATTTTATTTATATTGGCAACTTGATTTGATATTACTGCTCTACTAGCTGGATTTGCTTTACGTTCAAGAGCACGACTCTTAGTATTCATATCATTAATAAGACTCTGATTTTTATGAACTTCATTGAAATGAGTGCTTACGTTCTGAATACTAACGCGTATTGCTGCAATTGTAGCTGGCCGTTCTTCGGGCATTTTCATATTTTTTAGGCATTTGTTAATTTTCTCTAGGATGTTATTATATTCTTGCCACGCGAGCTGCTCTTTTTCTAATTCAGCTCGTCTTTTGTCAGCGGCAGTTGTGGTTCTTTCCAATCTTCCCCGAAATGTATCTAATTCTTGAATGAGAAACGGAACCTGACCCTCTTGTAAACTGGGTCGAATTTTCTGAGCAAGTCCTTCTAATCTGCCAAGCTGATCTTCCCATTTATTAGTTTCAGAAAAGAATATCTGTCAAGAAATAAATTTTCGTTTACATTATGAAATTTGTAGATTTAAATCTTAATTAATTTATAGAAAAATATATCTTACTTTGTGATTTGATAATAATGTATTAATATTTTCATAATCTATTCCATCATCTGGTGCCACAATTAACTTTTCAGCTTTATCGAGCCACTGGATCAAACCTTCTTTTGCTTCATTGTACTTCCTTCTTGAAATGAGAGCTGTATCTAAATACTGATTTCTTTCCTGAAGTTCACGAGGTAACGTTGTTTGTAAAAGATTAAGTTCACTAAGATTTTCCTGAACCATTTCACTGATGTTTCCAGATACACGAGGAAGTTCTTTTCGTATGTTTTCGCTTAATGTTTTTGCAAGTTCGAGACGCTTTTGCATCTCAGCTGCAAGTGCCTATTTTAGAAAAAAAATTTTTTAATTAAAATCAAATAAAAATGACATAATTTAAATATTACGTTTTATTACAATCTGTTTTTCAACTAATATAATATTATCATTACCTCTACTGAAGTCCAATCCTAAATTGTTAGCATAAATAATTATAATGTTTAGCATTAATTATTTCTGTTTAAAATTTATTTACAAGTTTTTATAAAATTCTGAATATGAATTACACAATCTGTACTTAGATTATACAAGATTTAAATAAAATATTAATATCTGAGTAGGATTTATAATTAAAACATTTCATTCAGATAAATTAATTTTTCTAGAAAAATAAGTTTTTAAGTTTACTTAAGAATGACTATATCAGAGTTTGTTTTTAGGGCAAATTATGTATTTGTGCTATATTTTCATGCATTAATCTCAACTTATTTACATTTAAAAGACAATTTGAAAGAGATTTAAATTATGCAACGAAATGAGTTATATACATCAGTTTTAAACTGCAATTACAAATTCAAGCCTATGGAGCAATGGTTGCTGCCATAGATGCATGGTAGTACATGGTTTTTTTGTTCATCTAAAAAAAATACTTAAAAATAATTCCTTAATATTGTTTAATATAAATAAAATAATTTATGTCAATATTTTAATTCTTACCTGATGCTTTTTCATCTCATTGTCTACACTATCAACATTAAGAGAAAGCAGGGGTCGTGATTTCACAACTGCTTCGTCTCTTCTTAATTTTTCTAGAAGTTCTTCGAGATTATCTGCCAATTTCTTTTGTTCGGCCATCATTGTTTCATGCTCTGTTTTCAACTTTTGAACCATTTTACGTAGATTGTTTAATTTATCTTTAAGTGCCTGAAGGTCATTCATAATTTCATTTCGATCAGCAACTGTTCCTTCCTTTCCAATCTGTTCACCCTTATCCTGAGTTGCTGTTAATTTTGCATCACATTCAACTATTTTATCCATTAGATTTTGATATTTCTTAAATTTTTCACTGGTTGTTTTCTCTGTCTTTTCAATAATCGTAATTGTTTCCGTACACGATGTAATAATATTTGTTATTTCTTTAATACTAGCATAAAATTGTTCACGTTGAGTAATAGCATGTTTTGCTCTCTTGCGATGATCCTCGATGGCTTCAATAATTTTGTTGAATTGTGACAAGAGATTTTGGACTTGGTCAATATTATGAGCTTGTGGTTTCAATTGGTCTAATTTATTATGAATATCTTGAACACGTCCTAATAAATCCTGGAAAAAAAAAATTATACTTGCTTACACTTAGCTCAATTTATATCACAAAATATAAAAAAACAATTCAAATACTTCATTTAATTTAAATAAATTAGTTTCTGTGTGCTAGAAAACAACTTGTTTAAATAGATTATTATTAATTCCTTTAGTATTTTAAATAGTGTTTTATGGGCATTAACTTTAGCATTAATATTAATGATTTCGGAAATTAAATTATTTTTTTATTTATGAGTAATAAAAGAAAGTAAATCCTTTTATCTAAAATCTTTTAATCAATGAAAAATAAAAAATAAAAATATATTTTCAAAAACTATATTAATCTATTGTGAATTAAACACATTTAATTTAATTCATGTCAGGCTAAATTAAATAAAAATATATACACACAGAATGTTACAAATAAAGTGAACAAGATTCATAACTTAGGAATGACTAAAGGTGGGAGGATCAGACTAATCATAGATAAATGGAGTGCAAGGGAACTAGCTGCCTCAGTAGTCCCTTATTCAGCCTCTATTTCAAATGGCATTTTATATCATAATTACTAGAAAATTATGTTTTCTAAGCATAAAACATAATTAATCAATCAATATATATATATATATAAAGATAAGTGTACAATGTGTGTGCCGCTAAAACTCAAAAACGAGTCCTGGTATGATCAAGGGAGTTATATGGTGTGGTAGCCCTCTATCCCCCATCCATGAAGAAGGTTCCCGTTTTTACCTGAAGGGTGTGCTGTTGAAGATATAAGGGCTGGAAGTTTCGCTCTCTAGAAATTTCTAGAACAGTCCAGAAAATTTGAGAGTATTCAAGAACATTCCACAACATTCCAGAATGTTATGGGATGTTCTGGAACATTCGGGAACATCCAGAACATCCCAGATCATTGTGGAACATTCCAGAACACTCTCAAATGTTGTGGAATGTTCTGGAACATTGTGGACCATTCAAAGCCTTTTTTGTATGGGTGGGACTACCCATTGGTGGGGAGTATATAAAGCAAGATCCATCGTGGGTTCAAATGTCAGTTTCTTATCAGTGATGAAGGGAAGAACCAAAAAAGAAGTGAAAATTCCAAAGTAGTGCAGTGAGTGAATAAAAACAAGGAATGCCATTATACTGCCTTCAACTAAAAATTGGATCTCCCATCATACTATTCAGAAATCTGAACTCACCAAAACTATGTAATCGAACAAGGATGATCATCAAACAGCTAGAGAATAACATCATCGAAGCTGAACTTATGACTGGAAAGGACAAAGAACACACATTATTTATCCTCAGAATACCACTGATCTCTACTGAACTGCCATTCCAAGTCAAAAGACTGCAATTTCCAATCAAATTAGCCTATAGTTTTACAATTAACAAAGCGCAAGGACACACTTTAAAACATTGCGGCATCAACCTCAAAGACTCCTGCTTCTCTCACAGTAAACTATACATAGCTTGCTCTCGAGTAGGAAATTTGAAAAATTTGTACATATATACCCCGGATAACAAAATGAAAAATGTTGTTTTTAAACAAGTATTGTAAATAGTTAGAATGTGTTTTCAATAAAATTTTTTTACCTCTTATATTTTAAAGTTTATCCTTTTATTCCAACTACCACACAATCTCATATAAACTCCCTGAACGAAGCCGGGTACTTCAGCTAGTATTTTATATGTTTTTATAACTAATTCTTAGTAAATAAGACTTAATAAATTTTATACCTGACAATTTCTCAATAGCGCCTCTGCATCTTCAACCTTTATTCCAATTGGCCGATTTAATGCTTTCACTTCTGATCTCATTTCTTCTAATTGAATTGTGCTTTCCTTGATTTTTGCTATCTGTTCCTTTTGTCTATTCACAGCATCTTCTAATGCTAAAAGTCTTTCTCTTATGATGTCTTCCAATCTAAAAAAGTATTTATCGAAATCAATCAAATAATTTTTTACAAAGTAATTGGAAAAGTTTAACTGTATCATTACAAAGATTTTACCTGTGATGTCTTTCCTTGAGTTTTTGTACCTCATCTTCCATTAATAACTTTTCTGCTTCCTTCATCTTTTCGTAGAGACTGTTAGCAATATCTTGTAAATTATTTACATCACCTAGAAGATTTTTTGCTTCTTTATTTAAGTTTGCATAAGTATTTCTCTGTTCCTCAACAATTTCTAATACTGTTGTGGTCAGCAAATCTGAAGAAACTGTCTCTTCTGTCTGTTGTAGCCAATGACGTATTGAATTTAATTTTTCTTCATATTTTTGCTGCTTGGCCAAAATTGTTTTTAAGGCTTCAACTTTCTCTTCAAGTAGTTTTTTCACTTCATTTAATTTATCATTAATTTCTACAAAACATTATGAAACAAGTATTAACTTACTTCAGCTTAAAAGATTTTGTTAAATTATAACATTATTATAATTAAACACACTCAAAAAACTAAAAATCCAGCAATTGATTGTGTATGTTATATTCAAATTTAAAAACCTGAAGATGGTTGCTTTAAAATGACCAAAAACATTCATTTTTATTTAGAAAGTAAAAAGTTAAGGTTATAAACTGTTGGATTTTTGGTTTTTTTCTTAGGTTCTAAACTTTTCTCTAATAAGTTATTATTAAGTTTCTTAAGGTTATAAACTTTTCTCTAATAAGTTATTAGAAGACATCCAGTTAAAGGAGGTAGTAATTATTATAATTGATAATATAATGTCTGAACAAGTGTCTAAGAATTAACAATAATGAAAAAATGAGACTTCTCCCTCATCCCTACAGTAAATGACTGAAATTTTGCAAAAGTTATTAAAACTCAGTATAAAAATATGAAAATAAAAAACTTAACTTAAAAAAATAACCAAACTATTACTATGATTTTAATTTAAATGTTTGTCCTTATTACTTTATTACTCAGACAACACCAGGTATTGCTACTAGTAACCTTTGATAGACCTCTTTGGAACTCTACATAGTTTCACACTTAATTTCTATAGTGGAAAATAGATAGACGCACATTCAAAAGTATATTTTTACAAATACTAAACAAAATAATCAATTTTACCATTAAATATTCTATTCAATGCCTGTAACTGTTCTGATGAACAAAGTGGTTCAAGTTCATGTCCTTTTTTGATTACAATTGTGATAGTTGTTTCTTCATAAGTTTCTATTTCAGTTCTTTTTATCTAAAAAATAATTAATATACTTAATACTATAAAAATAAATTTGAAGCTTTTGAATAATGTAAATACAAGCACTAAGTCAGCTAAATATTATGAGTATTTTATAGTTAAATATGTTGAAGAAATTCTATTATTAATCAACTTATTAAATGTGTATTGTATATCTTATCAAAAGAAGTTGCATAGGATATATGAAGCATCCAACACAGCTTTTGTTGGGATATACAAATGCACATGTTACAAAATAAAACTCATATAAGTATGTGAGTTTTATAACTATTGATATAATTTTTAATGCCTAACCTTAATGATAATATAATTACAAACCTGACAATTTTCAATTGATTTTTCAATAACTTCCATTTTTCCAGGTGTGGGTTCTATTCGATTAACTTCTTGTTCTTTATCTTGAAGCCAACTCTTAACAGAAGATACATCTTTCTCAAATTCATAACTTTTCTCTAATAAGTTATTTAATCTATTAATTTCTACAGATACAGCTTTGCAGAGTTCATCAAATTTTGATTTTAATTTTTTAAATTGATCTTGTAGTTTCTCTGCTTCACTCGTTTCTAGATCAGGTAAAAGAGCTTCTACCCTTTTCTCAAATGAGTGAATAACTACTTCTTTATTTTCAACTTCTCGCTGAAGAGACTGCAAAATAAAATTAAAGTTAAATAATATATCGAGATTTTATGAAATATGCTTGTTAAAGAAATTAAAAATCATTGTAAATTTAATAAAAACATTAATCACTTTTCCTTAACTTAGAATTACGACATTTATGATTCTAATTTAATAATTCCAAGTAAAGAGTTAATAAAATAGCGCTATTTTAAAATGGTTATTAAAATGCCATAAATATTAAAGTGACAAATTCTATTTGATATAAGAAAATGAAATAATCAAACTGAAAAAATTAAATTTTATAATATGTTTTTAATAGTTTTAGATTATTTAAAATACAAGGTGATTCAGTCAGGACTAAACACTTATTAGATAAAATATTTCTGTATAAAATGAAAAGAGGAACATGAAGCATGGATGAAACAATTCTTTATTTCATGATAAAATTAGTCAACCAAGTTATATTTTACATTACACGTTATTCAAACGTGACTGTGCAATCATGAGATATTGAACAAAGTAATCATTCAGTCCCAAGTGAATCACCATGTATATTAATTTAAAAAATAATAATTCTTGTAAGTATACATATTTAGAATTAATGTGATAATTTAAATTAAATTTTAAAAAGAATAAAGATAAGTAATATTGTTGCAAATTAAGGACTGAAAGAAAAGAGACTAATAAAGATAGTTAATCAAGATTTTGTTATTAAGATAAATGACTATTGTTAAAATTCATATGTATAATTCATACTTCTTTCTGAATAAGATGCTAATAGAAATGTTTTCCATAAAGTAAGATATAAATTATACTTATTGAATTTGTAAGCTGAAACTAACATATAATGTAGAAAATTCACATCTTCCTCACACTTTCCTGTAGTAACTGTTTAATAAGCAAATGTTTTCAGCCATACTTAGGGATCTGTGTCAGGTTAAGCATATACAAAATCCAATGTCTATAACAAAAATGTTTTTTTATTTAACAGTTACTGCTGGAAAATGTGAAAGTATGAATTTTCTATAAATCATATTTTTATGATATTTAAAAAATAAGTAGATATAAGAAAATACCATCATTTCTAATAATTATATTATTGAATTTTGTAATTTTTTTCTTCTTATATTATGCTGTATTATGATTACAAAAAAATTATCATAATTTTCACAGTTGCTTTTTATATTATACAGTTTAAATAATGACTTAATTAATTGATTATCTATTACACTTAATATCTTTTATTCATAATGTATAAAAAAAGCAATTGATTGTAAAAAGAACACAATAAATAATCATATGATTTGACATCTTAATATAGTAGAGCATCAATTATCCGAATCAATTGGGAACTGGGGTTGTTCCGAAAATCAATTTTTCGGATAACTGATTATGGACGAAAAAATATATTAACCTAGCCCATGTTGAAATTCATTCAAATCTTGGCATGTTCTTAAGTACCCTCTCATGGTCATGCCAGTGCTGCCAGCTAAAACATGTACACCAACAAAAATAATATTGGAGTAGCCCAAGACATAGCCAAAGATTGCAGCGCCACAGCATTAGCAGAGATTTAAATTTTCCGACTGGAAAGTTTTCGGTTAATTGACGTTTCGGTTGATCGATATTCGGATAATCGATGCTCTACTGTATTCATGGGATTAATTTTCAAAAAATAAACAAACAATTATTTATTGTGCCATTGACATAATGCTGAGCTGGACTAATCATATTCTTAATTTATTCAATTTAAAATATATGTTCTCCATCTAAAATATGTAGTGTCTTGCCCCTATACATCATACTTTTCCTGATAACAACAGAGTCATGTCAGTCATCTGTGTAACTCCATTCAGGGAAAAATATAAATTGAATTCATGTGACTTCCAGTCTAGACTGGAAGTTTGTATATAGTTAATTGGGGCCTCCTGCCCCTAAGCTTTTCATATCTGGTCTTGACTTTCATCTATCTAGTGCCATTCCTGAGAATAAAGGAAGACAGAAAGACAACAGTGGAAATTTATAAGTCTACAATTTTTTCAAATTGAAGTCATATGATGAAGTTTAATATTTCCAACTATATCGTTTATATTCTAGTTTATATATAGAAAATGACAAAAACTACATGAAATAATCTAAAGTAAAAGAGACTGATATAATAAAGTACTTAAGAATAATCTGATACCCATGTCAGATTCAGTATGTCAGTACTTTGTTGTCTTAGGAGTAAAATGAGTTTCCATTATCAGTTATTAGTTCACTGGGATGGGATTTAAAATTGCAGAACTATAAATTCCCTCTGACATCTATCTGTCTACCCTTCCTTAATTTCAAGAATGGAGCTAGATAGATGAAAGTAAAGACCAAAAACAAAAAGTTTAGGAAACAGAGGTCTTGATTAACTATATATGAACCTACAGTTTGGACTGAAAGTCACATTATTTCAATTCAAAAATTTTTCTCCAGAACAGAGTTAGATAAATGACCAGCATGACTCTCTTGCTTACAGGAAAGGTATGATGTACAGGGATAAGAAACTGCTAAAATCAACAGCATTGTGCATCAAGATCTTAAAAATTTCAGCCTGACATTGTGACAATGTCACAATAAATAATTGCTAATCGTCACTGACTATTACACTGTCGATATCAGAACTATTTGATAATTCTGATATTGACAAGTATTATCTAAGCTATCTTTACTCTCATAGGAACCAATAAGTAACTGAACCAAATTTAGCTATTATGAATTTTGATTTTTAAAAATCCAGTACATTAATAAATGATATTTTAGAAATACCTTTGCTTCTTTCAAAGCATCTTCAATTCCTTTGCTATGAAAACCTGGATGAAGAGCACTTTGTATATCAACAAGTTTCTCTTCAATCCACTCGTATGTTGACATCATCTCCATACTAACACTATCATAATTTGTTTGAAGTAATTCAAGGCTTTGTTGTCTTCTTAAAACTCTCTTTCTTAAATCATCTAACTTTTTCTCTAATGATCTGCAAAGTATTCAAATTTAAAAACATTCTTATCATTTTTAAAATTAAAGGTTTAAAGGAAATAGAAAAAAATATAAAGTATTAATGATTATTAAAAGTAACATGAAAATTAAAACTGAAATATAAGTTTAAAAAACAGAAATTAAATATATTGTAATACCATGTATATACATTCAACATTAAAAACGAAAATACATAAATTTAAAAAAAAGATATTGTTATGAAAAGAAAACAACCAATTACTGGTTAATATTAATGAACCTTCTAACAAAGTAATCAATAAGAAACCAGCAAAAGAACCAGTCACTTAAAATGCAAACATTTTCGCCCATTTTTAAAAGGACATCATCAGGCTGGTGTTTCAACAACAGTCAACTATCCTCAATGGCAATGTAGAGATTAAAATCAATTCGAAAATCATGCAATTCCAAATTACAACACCAGTCTTATGATTTCCATTTTTAAAACAGGAGTTGAGAAAGGTTGAATTTACTTTTTAAGTAAATGGTGTTTTTGCTGGTTTCTTATTGGTTAACATTAGAAGATTCATTAATATTGTTAGGTATAATAATTTGGTCAAGCAATACATTCAAAAATAATATTAATACGCTTTAAATATAAAATTTAAGTTTTTCTTTGGTAAGAATGTAAATAATTAGCCCTTTTGATATAAAAGTCATAGGTTTTATTTTAATCAATACTTTGCATCTACCCTTAGTATTTACAATTAAAAAATGAGTAAATAACATTATAATATTTACTTTTACATAGTTTTAAATAAATAAAACAATTTAGAACTTCTATACTGAAAAAGGGCTTATTATTCATGCTCTCATTGTAATGGGATTGAAGTTTTGAATGGGATTGAAGTTTTGTTTTTATTTAATTTCTACAACAACACCTTATCTCACTGAGAATTATTTATTAACTTGAATACATTTTAAAATGTGTTTTAAACTGTTATATTCAAAAAGAACAGTTATCAATGCCCCATAGATTTTAAAAAACCCAATGATGGCCTGTAGAACAGGTTGAAAACATTTGTTAAAGTTAATAAATAATTCTCAGTGAGATAAGCTATTGTGGATATTAAGAAGCATCTAGCTAGGTATTAATTAATTAATTAAGTTTTTAATTAAGTTTCTCATCATTTATTTTAAATAAAACAAATATTAAGTTTTGACAAATGAAAATTTGTCATAATTTAATATTTTTCTTTGCATTAAATTATAAAATGCTTACACTTTAAAATATTTAACTTTCATTAAGATAATTTATTTATTCATAATTTTACAGTTTAATTTGAATAACATGTTCATTTACCTGATTCTGTCCCATTGTTTTTGATGGTGATCATCAGATAAAAATTTAGAAACTTCTTCAATTTTATTTTTCAATTTTGCTAATTTTCCATTTATCTTTTCTGTATCTTCCAGGAAATTCTATAATAAAAATTATAAAACATATTTTATGCATATGTTACAAAATACATTTTATTATTTCAATTCTGTTAAATATTTGTTACATTTCATGTTTGAATTCTGTCCCATAATAGTTGTCATATTTTTAAATTTATGAGTCCATTTTTTATCACTTCTATCAAATAGCTGAGGGGAGATTTCATCCCAACATATCATAGGGATCATATCAACAATGTAATGGACCTGAAGCAGAGCAATTAAACTACTCAAAAACATTTGTCTATTTTATTTAGTAGCTGGAAATAAAGAAAAGGTTAATTTGTGGACATAGTGAATGTTTCCAATTGGAATTCTTTATTGGGTTGCAATTTTCAAGAATTGTAGACCTATAAATTTCCAATGGCATCTGTCTATCTTTTTTAACCTCCTCATCTACTTAACTCCATTCTGGAGGAGTTAGGTAGATGAAAGTTGAGACCAGATATAGAAATCTCAGGCCAATTAACTATATACAAACAATTGTCCTAACCAGAAGTCTCGTTACTTCAATTCAAAAATTTTATCTTGGATAGAGTTAAATAGATGACTGGCATGACCCCATTGTTAACAGTAAAAGTATGATTTATAGGGGTGAGACACTAATAAAATTGAAAGCATTGCGACAATAAACTGCAGCCCAACATTGTCGGTATACTAAACATCCCAAAGCCCGATACATAGATACTCAATCAAACAACTGCCTTAAACAATCGGGCTATAAATCCGCTATTATTAATGATTAGAAACTAAGTAATTACCATGAGTAACCATGTAATGTTATATCTAAATTTAAATACGTCTGGAAGTGAAGGCTTGCTCAGAGTCAGGATGGTGTACTGGTAAACGCACTGCACAGTAAGCAGAGATTGCAAGTTCAAGCCCCACTCTAGGCTGATTCTTTTCTTCCAGATGGTTCTAAATTATTTAATAAATTATTAAAATTATAATTATTAATTTAGATAAGAGATAACACCTAATGTTTACCTCTAGTACCAAATTACTTCGTTTCTAATCATTAATAATAGTGGATTTATAGCCCAACTGTTTAAAGTGATCATTTGGTTGAGTGACAATATCACAATAAATAACTGCTCATGTGCAAGTTGTAAATATGGTGATGCCAGCCAGCAAATACAGAAAGAAGGTATTAGCTCTAACCAAAATGAAGGTTACATTGACCTTTTTATTACAATGCAAATTAAATAATATGTTCCCAATGACTATTTTCCAGATCAGCTTATTGACAAGATGTGAATCCTTGAGACATAAATTACATATTCTATGTTTAAGAAAAGCAATTATGAATACCAGATGCCTAATGTACATTAAGCTACAAAAACTTATTCAATTTGTAAGTAAGATTTGATGATGAAAATCTGGAAGGTTAAAGAAAATGAATAGCCAAATGATTAACTTAAAAAGGATTGTCTCAGCATCTTTGCACATTAAATGTTAAAAAATTGAAATGGATTTTCAGCAAACAATTGGAGTGACAAAAATTTGTTGTTATGATCATTTCAATATGCTGGAATGAAATCTTCCTTTCTAGCTATTCATAATTTATGATAAATAAAATGAAAACTTAAAAAAAATGAGTAATTTTTATTTATTCATGATAAAATAAATATTTATTTTCAACAATAATGAAATAATTTATACAATATTTAATCATTCTTTGGGCTTTTAATACAGACTTAGGACTACATTTAATGTTTCTCGGGAGGTGATTTTCCTGTTTAAATTTTTCTTCATTCATGTGTTTAATTTTATAAAAATTATTTCCACCTGACATTATCACATTTTTCATACTGGTTATGTAAAATTTCAGCCATTGTTATTTTTTCTTGCACTAGTATAGAATAGCAATGGTGCATTTTTGAAAATATCAAATTTCACTTATTTTAACTTAATTTACTTTAGACACAAATTATAATTAAATGCATTTGATAACTTAGTTCTATTTGTTAGTATGAAGTTTCTATAACAGGAATAAACATGTAATTTGAATAAATGCTGTCAATATTCAAAAGAAAAAATAGTAAATGTGACAATTATTTTGGAACAGAGGAAAGGAAATATAATAATATATACAGTAGAGCAGCGCTGTCCAACTGGCGGCCCGCGGGCCGTATACGGCCCGCCAAACAATTTTTACGGCCCGCGAGTACATTTTACTATGAATAAATTTGTTACTAAATTATTATTATTAATATTAAAATTATTTTACTACCGTGTTTTCCCGAAAATAAGACAATGTCTTATATTAATTTTTGCTCTGAAAAATGCGCTAGGTCTTATTTTCAGGGAATGTCTTATTTTTTCCAGGAAGAAGAATTCACATTTATTATTGAACAAAAAAATTCCCAAGTCGAACTTAGACGAGAGTGACGTATATCCGGTGTGTCGAACTGTCG